AATAAAAACACCCAAAGATCCCTAAAAAGAAAAATTATTAGCAAAATACAGGGTATGTACCCTGCAAATATGGGAACAGGCATCACTGAAGAGGCTGAAAAAGTGAGAGTGAATGTTCCAGCACATCAGGAAATAAATGAGGTTGCCCAGAGAAGCTGTGGCTGCTCCTGGATCCCTGGAAGTGTCCAAGGCCAGGTTGGAGCAACCTGGGCTGGTGGAAGGTGTCCCTGCCCATGGCAGGGGGTGGAACTGGATGGGCTTTAAGGTCCCTTCCCACCCAAACCATTCCAGGATTCCACTCCCTGAGCTTACAGTGCTGCCAGGCCAACACTAAAACCATCATGAGAACAGGAACATCCAGGCAGGAGCAGTTCAATATTCTACATAAACGTGATTATCATCACGGAATCATGGACAGTTTGGGTGGCCAGGGCCTCCCCAGCCTCCCAGCCAGCAATTCCTTCCCAATATCCCATCCATCCCTGCCCTCTGGCAGTGGGAAGCCATTCCCTGTGTCCTGTCCCTCCATCCCTTGTCCACAGTCCCTCTCCCTGTCAAAACATAAATACTATTCCCAAAGCCATTTGTTTTACAGCAGCTCCTGCCAGAGTCCCAGGACTGTCCCAGAATTGCCAGCTCCCACTTGGCACATTTCCTGTCAAAGCCCTGCAAATCAATCTGCTCTAAAAGCTTAAGGAACAACCAACCAATTATTCACATTTATAAACATTTTGACAGTTTGAAAAACAACAGAGAAGGATTTTAAACCCAACAACCGAAATGCAAAGTTACTGTACCCACCCAGCCATCCCTAAACCCATTATCCCAAATAACAATGGGACAAACCCCAAAGGCAACAGCAGGAGAACCCACACCTGCTGTGCCACAGAGCACCTGCAATCCAAGGCCTGAACAACCCAACCCAGGTCTCAGTTAATGCTCAGACCGAAATCATTTGGCAGCCAGGTCAGAAGAACCAATACAGAGAAACTCTCTGAACTGGAGAGCTGAGATTTTGGGGCTCACAGGTTCTCCCAGCTCACTCTCCAAACCCAAACCAAACTCCCTCCCACCTTGTCTGAAATTATTTCTTGCTGGGGCAGAATCCTTTCCCTCCCTCAGAAGAGGATTTTAGCCAAACTATTGGCAAGGAGGGTCTTAAAAAAACAGGTGAAACTATTTCATTGTCCTTATTTGAACCGTTTTTAACTCTGCATTCAGGGGCTCCTGAGAAGTGAAGTCCCAGCTGGCTGGAAATGTTGTGTTTTCCTCCCAAAACCCGTCGGATTCAGAGCTCCCAGAGCATGGGAAGCCTTTCCAGGTTCAGTGGGGTTCCGGGGTCTCCTGGGAATGTTTTCCCTGCTCTCAGGGGGTTCAGCTGGAGAACCCTGGGGGCAGCCCAGGACTGATGACAAACGACACTGACTCCAGTGGCAGCTGTTCCACGTTCATCCTGGCCTTGGAAGAGGTTTCCCAAGGGGTTTTTGAAGTGGAAAACAGAGACAAACCTCTGATGGGAGAATCTGGGATCGTTTGGTCACTGAGTTCCCACTGCCAGCTTTGGACTGGGAAATATCCAGTCACCCTCCCACTGTAAATTAGAATTAATGACCAATAAAATGCAGCATTACCTGTCTCCCAGGAAAAACCACAGCTCTCCACTTCCCTATTCCCTGTCCCTCATCCTCGGGAGCTCAGACAAACACCATTCCCATAAAAAGGATTACTCTGCCCCAACCTTGTTTCCAAACAGCACGGTTTAATTTTCAAAAAATGCTTAAGAGAGATTGAATTATTTTGCAGAAGGACAACTTGATTGGTTCCCTTGTCACACCAAAAATCCCCCTGGGAGTAAATCCCCCCACCTGCCCCTGTGCTGCTGCAGGAATAAAGCCCACGGGCATTAAAGGCTTTGCTGCAGTGGATGTCCCTTTTCCAGGGATCATATTTGGGGTTTCTTTCACTTTTTTATTTTCTTTTCACTGGGCCAACATCTTCTTTCAGTTTTTAAGAGCACATAAATACAATGTAATTTTTTCCCAACCATTTTCACTTCATCTATTTTAAAAACAAGGCCTTAAATTGACCTTTTTTTGATCTGTTATGCAAAAAACTGCTTCTTGAATCATTGAATGAGAACAAGAAAAGGAAAGCCAAACATCAGTAAATTTCTGACTGAATTTCTTCTCCAATAGAAAAAAAACCCCACCCCAAACCCCACAAATACCTCCTGAGCTGGCTCCTGTTGTGACTAATCTCTGACTGAGATTCTGCCCAAGAGATAATTTCATCAGAACCTTCGTGATCATTTGGTTACTCACAGGAACATTTAGTGCCTCAGTAAATAAATAATCAATAAATCTGTTTGATTTACTA